ACGATTTGCTTTTAATGATAAGGATCTAAATGTAATAAATAAAAAATTTAGTTTATATATATAACATTCTCACAAAATATTTAACTGAAATAATAAATAAACCACCCAAACTTTCCTACAGTCTAGCCTCTCTATAGTCACCCCTTTGACTACAAAGAACTTTGTTCTCATGAAATATACCCAAATAGAGGTTAATTCTCTCAAAAGCGTGGCTATAAAGAGAAATAGGTAATTAAAAAATTAATATATGAATCTAAATATGCTAATTTTTTTTATTTTTTTTTTATTTTTTTTACTCTTAAATAATCTAAGGTTATGATCAAACAAAATACTCCACTCAACATCCAAACGATAGAAAACTTTCCAATGGCATTTGACCTCTCCATATCACCAGTATTTGATATTTTCACGGCCACTGTACAAGATCCTAGTACTACAGATGATGAAATAACCTTTTTTCACCTCAAAAGAGATGCTTATGATGGCATAATGACATTTCAAGTTACTATGTTGGTCTTATGTAAATATGACCCGAAAGGACACCACATGAATGTTGCAGAAGCTACCAAATGCCAGCCAATAATCTCAGTTGCTAGGAAATTGGTTACATTAAAAAATCGGTATGCGTAGCCTGCGAGGTTATTGAGTGGAGTTATCCCAGCCAAGGGTTCTCCAAATCTGGTGGGGATGCTCCCACATCGAAGAATAGAAAGACTAGAAACGGGGAATTAAAAAAATTAGCCAAAAAACTTGACTCTCCCAACAAAACAACCAGAAAGGGTAAACAACCCTATAGTGATAGTACTCAAGAGGAAAGCTCTTCCCAAGCAAAAAGATTAAGAACTGCAGCAACTAATATTAATAAAGGTAAAAAAATAAACTAATCTAAAATCTATTAAAAAAAAATACTCATAGTATTGCTCAAATTGTCAATGACATTAATTATCTTCACCAATTAAGTAATATATATATTATTATTTCTATTCCAAAGTGCTTAATAATATATTATTACCTAATTAGTAAAGCGTCAACAGTAATAACTGTATTATTATTCCTTTTAGTTAATACGCAGTTTAGTATAGTAAAGAGTTAAAACAATAACCCATATTTAAAACTAATAAAATTCTTGCTTTTATACTCACATTGTCAATTAAATGCAACCAAGAAAAAAACCGCAATACTACAATACTTACGTAGTTTTTTTTGAGTATCACACAATTTATCACACTTATATTAACCATGTTAAAAAATCTAGGGTATGAAAATGCGAAAGCCAATCCTCACTCCAGCCCGAAAATGCAGAAGCTGATACCGACCCAGGACCCGAAAACACAGTATCCGAAACCCAGAATAGTGCTACAGAACAATCGTTAAATGATAGCCAAGATGACCAGAGCATTTGCGAAGTAATTTCTAGTGATCAGGAAGACGAAGAGATGTCCGAAAATACGTACTCCCCTTAAATCTATGCAAATAGATTTACTACAAGAAACAATTTTTATACTAATTTTTTCCTCAATTCAATTGTTTTCTTTTCTCATTATTTTTTTTTTTAAATTTTTTCCCTTTTAATTTTTTCTTCATTTTATTGATTTCTTTAATGTAATTTCTCCTGTTAATATCATCAATAAAACTTAGTAAAAATGTTTGTACTACTTCCTTAATCAATATTAAAAAAAATATATAAATAAAAACAAAAAATGATATAGACACTAGCTAATAAATTACGCGTAAGTTGCCATTTCAATTTTATGCTATTTGAGACCCGTATTGCAAGATTACTCGATAATTAGACCAAAAAAAGAATAAAAAAAAATACCAAAATTAAAAAAAAAATAAAAAAGAATTATACTAGTGTACAAATGCGTTACCATAACATATAAACCTTTGATCATGAAAAGAAACTCGAATTACGTTATTCATCGATATTCTATCTACGAATATGAAAGCAATATCCTATCAAACTCAATTGAAACAAATCAAAACGGACAAGATACCACCATTTTCCAATCTTATATTTATCTTAATGAAATAAATCAGATTGGCATAACTAAACTTACACCTACATTACAACTTAGTGCACCTACAATCCCATCTATAACTTTCCTACTATGGACACCATCATCTGTATTAAAAAAACTTCTTCACGAATTCGAAACAAAAATATTGTATGATCATCTCTATATTTTATACTGCTACTGTTCAATTTTGATGTTCCATTCTGTGACCCAATGGATAACATATAACCCAGACGAGAACTACACTCTAACTATAGCATTTTCCAATATTCCCCTTAAGCTACATCACTTTACCAACAAACCTACCAAAGTAGCCATCTGCAATAGCTGTAAAAAACCAAAAACTAGAAAGTTTCTACCAATTTTACCCAATATATCTAATGAAATAAGTTTAGTACCAATATATCACAGAAAATATCTTTCTCCGATTCATATGACATGTTCATTAGACCGTACTCCAGGATCAAATCTATATACAACATATTGATTTCTACAGGATGATTTTTTTCTAAATAAAAATAATCATTCGCTTGACCTTTACTCAAGAATAATTGTTGCTATTTTAAGTACTAATGAACTATCACAATGGTATATGATACACTTCCTACTGCTAGTGCTTGGTTAAAAAGAAACAATCCTATATTTCGACAATACGTAAACATACCTAGTATTAACTCATCTTCACCATCAGATCTATCGCCAGTCCTCTTACCTTTAGCATGTTAGTCTCAAAGAAACTCTAACAACACTTGATAAGAAACGTATCTCATATCCTAGACATCGTAATTCTTAATAACGCATTTTCTCTAGAAATATACAACAAAGACCAAAGATATAAAAGACTCATGGCTGGATTTATAAAATTGGACAACTTAACTTTACCTATATCTTATGGCGATCTCGACCTAGAAGTAATGATTTTTTCTAATTTATTTCCAACCAAAAAAGGTCACTATAAAAATATACGAGAACAATTAGACCTTTAATCAAACAAT